GGGGCCGGATGCCATGATCTTAGTTTTTTTGATGTTGAGCTTCAAGCCCACTTTTGCGCTCTCCTCTTTTACTCTGAGCAAGAGGCTCTTTAGATCCTTTTCACTTTCAGCCATTAGAGTGGTATCATCTGCATATCTGAGGTTGTTGATCTTTTCCCCAGCAATCTTAATTCCCGCTTGTGATTCATCCAGGCCAGCATTTCGCATGATGTACTCTGCATATATATTAAATAAGCAAGGTGACAGTATACATCCTTGTCGTACTCCTTTTCCTATGCTGAACCAATCAGTTGTTCCGTATCCGGTTCTAACTGTCGCTTCTTGGCCCTTATACAGGTTTCTCAAGAGACATGTGAGGTGGTCTGGTACTCCCATCTCTTTAAGGACCTGCCATAGTTTGTTGTGATCCACACAGTCAAAGGCTTTAGCATAGTCAATGAAGCAGAAGTAGATATTTTTCTGGTACTCTCTTGCTTTCTCCATAATCCAGCGAATGTTGGCAATATGATCTCTCGTTCCTCTACCTCTTCGAAACCCAGCTTGTACTTCTGGTAGTTCTCTATCCACGTACTGTTGAAGCCTAGCTTGTAGGATCTTGAGCATGACCTTGCTAGCGTGTGATATGAGTGCAATTGTGCGATAGTTTGAACATTCCTTGGCATTGCCCTTCTTTGGGATTGGAATGTATACTGATCTTTTCCAATCCTGTGGCCACTGTTGCGTTTTCCAAATTTGCTGGCAAATGGAGTGCAGAACTTTAACAGCATCATCTTCTAAGACTTTGAATAGCTCAGCTGGAATACCATCACCTCCACTAGCTTTGTTGTTAGTAATGCTTTCTAAGGCCCATTTAACTTCACATTCCAGGATGTCTGGCTCAAGGTCAGTGATTATACCGTCGTGTTTGTCAAGGACATTGAGGTCTTTCTTGTATAGTTCTTCTGTGTATTCTTGCCATCTTTTCCTAATCTCTTCTGCTTCTGTTAGGTCCCTACCGTTTTTGTCCTTTATCATGGCCAGCTTTGCATGGAACGCTCCCTTGATTTCTCCAATTTTCTTGAAGAGATCTCTAGTCCTTCCCATTCTATTGTTTTCTTCTATTACTTTGCACTGTTCATTCAGGAAGGCCTCCTTATCTCTCCTTGCTGTTCTCTGGAAATCTGCGTTCAGTTGGGTAAATCTTTCCTTTTCGCCTTTGCCTTTCGCTTTCCTTCTTTCCTCTGCTATTTGTAAAGCCTCATCAGAAAGCCACTTTGCTTTCTTACATTTCTTTTTCTTTGGGATGGTGGTGATTGCTGCCTCCTGTACGATGTCACGAACCTCTGTCCATAGTTCTTCAGGCACTCTATCTATCAAATCCAGACCCTTGAATCTATTCTTCACCTCTACTGTATATTCATCAGGGATGCGATCTAGGTCAAACCTGAATGGCCTCGTGGTTTTCCCAATTTTCTTCAGTTTAAGTCTGAATTTTGCAATGAGTAGCTCATGATCTGAACCACAGTCAGCTCCAGGTCTTGTTTTTACTGACTGGATAGAGCTTCTCCATCTTTGACTGCAAATTATATAGTCAATCTGATTTTGGTGTTGCCCATCTGGTGATGTCCATGTGTAGAGTCGCCTCTTAGGTTGTTGGAAAAGGGTGTTCGCTATGACCAGTGTGTTCTCTTGACAAAACTCTGTTAACCTTTGCCCTGCTTCATTTTGCTTTCCAAGGCCAAACTTGTCTGTTATTCCGGTTACCTTTTGACTTCCTACTTTAGCATTCCAGTCCCCTATGATGATGAGGACATCATTTTTTGGTGTTAGTTCTAGGAGGTGTTGTAGGTCTTCATAGAACCGGTCCACTTCAGCCTCTTCTGCATCAGTGGTTGGGGCATAGACTTGGATTACTGTGATGTTGAATGGTTTGCCTTTGAATCGGACATAAATCATTCTGTCATTTTTGAGATTGTATCCCAGTACTGACTTTTGCACTCTCTTGTTGACTATAAAGGCCACACCATTTTTTCTACGAGATTCCTGGCCACAGTAGTAAATATAATGGTCTTCTGAGTTAAATTCGCCCACTCCTGTCCACTTTAGTTCATTGATTCCTAAGATAGAACTGATGTATTAGGAATTCCGCATTGTTCAAGTGTTTATTTTCAAACGGGGAAGGGGAGGGAGAATTCATCCTGCACAATGTTTGGGGGCTTTTAGTCTTGTCATGCCTTTTCACCTCTTCTGTGTTGCAAGTATTGGGATATTTGGTTCATTTAGCCAAGTTTTGCCAGGTAATAGGAGCGTGATACCGAGTGCATTAAATAAATCTCCCAAGAAGTATATTGCAAAAAAGGGCAAACTTACATTTACTCAAGTAGATCCAGCTCACATTCAGGTTGTAGTCGAAAGGAGAGAGAGAAGCCTGACCGAAAGAGGGCTTTCCCTATCACAAACGGCCGGCTTGTCCGGCATCGTGTGTGTGGGAGGATGAGGGCAACATCTCTACAGGAGAGACCCGTAGAGACATGGGGTCTCTATGGAAGGCCATGTAGAGAGAATGAGAGGACAAAGGGAAAAAGAAGGAGTTGGAGGGCAGCTCTCAGGTTAAGACAAATAGAGGCATCCCATTCAAGGAGATGTAGCACCACCCCCACCACCCCCACACACACCAGTGTCCAGGCATGCTGAGAGTCTCTCATTCCAGCAGCAAGTACATGTACGATTTAAAAAATGGCAAAAAAGAAAAAAAAGGTATCTTGATGTGATTGCGTGGTAATGCGAAGGTTCTTTTTTTTGTGCAGGGTTTAAGCAATATGTGGGTGTCCGCGTGCAGCCTCGGAAAATGCTGCACGGAAAATGTTTCATCAGTTTGGTGGGGTGGTTAAGAGCGCGGACTCTAATGTGGGAGAACCGGGTTTGATTCCCCATTCCTCCACACGCAGCTTGCTGGTGAGACCTTGGGTCCGTTATAAGTTCTCTCAGAGCTGATCTCTCATGAGCAGTCCTCGAAGGAGCTCCCTCTGCCCCACCTACCTCACAGGGTGTCTGTTGTGGGGAGGGGAAGGGTAAGCTGCTCTGAGACTGCTTTGGGTAGTGAAGGGCGGGGTATAAATCCAATCTCCTCTTCTTCTCCTCAATATGCACATGCTAATCAGTAGCATAAAGGGAGGGAAGCTGCACATGAGTGGGAGGGATTGGCATCTGTGGCATACTACGCATGCTCCTCTTCTGGAATTTATTTTCAGTTTTAAAATGAATATTTTCGTCATTTCAATTCCTGGTTAAACCAAAATTACAGAGGAATACAATGCAGGACAGAAGGGAATTCCAGTACAATTGAAGGATGAAAAGGGGGGCAGGATCTGTTCATTCCCACACCTGAGCCAGCAGAATTAGCTATCCACAGGGGAGGGTGCCCGATGCATCTCTGCACGACTCACTGTTCCTTGCCATCAGGAGGCACGTACAGAACCATTGCCTGCAAAAATGATGACAATGGGGTGAATAAGATCCATATGCGCCCCATAGAAGGAGAAGCAATTATTCTTTTTTGCCCGGGTGCCTGAGATGGAAGGAAGCTGTTTCTGTTCTTCCTTTTGAACCCTGCCACACTCCTTCCTTTCAGTCTACTAAATTCTACCTGGGGGGGGGACAACTTTGTTAACTTTCCCCAGCCAGTGGAGGAAGTAAGTAGATAGGAAGGTCCAGGACAGGACAGCCCACCTGAAGGAGGTGGAGGAAGGCAGAAAACAGATCTTTTTTTTTACCATCAAGTCAAGCTGACTTCTGGTGACCCCTAGTGGGGCTTGAAGACACAGGGATGTTTAGAGGTGGCTTGCCATTGCCTGCCTCTGCATCACAACCCTGGTATTCCTTGGAGGTCGCCCTCCAATTACTAGCCCATGCTGACCCTGCTTAGCTTCTGAGATCAGACGAGATCAGGCTTGCCTGGGCTATCCAGGTCAGGGCAAAAACAGTTCATTTTTGAAGTGGTAGTAGGCAACTGTGAATCCTCTTATGTTACATCTGTCTTCAACCTTCCTATATTACATCTGTCTTCATTCTTTCATAGGATGTTTCATTGCCAACATTTGTGCATTCCCATCCCATCAAAAGCCTGCTTCATCTTTTAAAATCCTCCCAGAACCTCTTACTTTTGACACCTACCTGTATGTTTTTTAAATCTGGAAAGAAGAATATGCGTTTCATGATGCTAACAAGAGCAGCAACTGGAGTAGTTATTATTTTTAAAAACAACACCATGTCTATATTCACACCCCCATGTTGGTTGCAATTTGACATCTGATAGTTATTATTTTTTTAAACAACACCATGTCTATATTCACACCCCATGTTGGTTGCAATTTGACATCTGAGCTTCTGAACTGAGCAGGGAATTCCCACATGCAAATCTGAAAACATAAGAACGTAAGAAAAGCCGTGCTGGATCAGACAAACGGACCATCTAGTCCAGCATCCTGTCTCACACAGCGGCCAACCAGCTCCTCTGGACGGCCAATCAACAGGGCGCAGAGGCTGAGACCTTCCCCTCCTGACACTGCCAGTGTCTTCAGAGGTTAGCTGCCTCTGAACATAGAGATTCCCTTTCGTCACCATGGCTAGTAGCCACTGATAGATCTCTCCTCCATTAATTTGTCTAATCCCCTTTCAAAGCTGTTTATTCCTGTGGCCATCACTACATCCTCTGGCAGGGAATTCCACGTTTTAATCCCTGCCTGTATATAAAGGAGTGTTTCCTTTTGTCCATCCTGAACCTACTGCCCATCAGCTTTATTGGATGCCCTCAAGTTCTAGTATTTTGGGTACTCCGGGTAAGATTTTTTTTTTAAATCTAAAATTCATCACCTCTTATTTCAGATCCAGAATTTACCTTCTGTTTGTCTGGTTTGTCAGAGAACAAGGAATGTTGAATGCTGGAACTTTTTTTTTTTTAAAGTTGATTTAAAATGGGTAAAATTCACATTGCCTTCAAATACTTCTTCTTCTCTCCTTAGATGCTTGAGTCTCCAGACCCTCGCATCACCGACCCACGTCGCACATGGATTTCATTTGTACATCGTCCTGATGATGGCAACAACAAAAAGAGATGCAGAGGGAAAGATAAGAAATTAGTAGGTTGTTCCTGAAAGTGTAGCTGGCCTTTAACAACAGTAGTCTATTGCCAGTGTTAAAGCAGCCAGTTCCCAACATTATGTCCCCTTCTCTAAACATTTCTTCCTGCTCTTCCAGAAACTCCTGCCGACTTTTGAACCCATTCAGTCCGCTTTCTTGCTATCCAGCTTCATTCTCCTAAATTTCCATCCCCTCTCCCAACAGTCCATCCCCCTCTGCTGACATTCCTTCTCATCCTCTCAACATTCCTTCTCATCCTCTCAACATTCCCTCTCAGCCTCTCAATATTCCATCCCCCATCCCAACATTCCACTACACCCTAATACAGGGTTCCCCAACATGGTGCTCACAGACACTTCCCCGGGTGCCTGCCATGTGCTGCAGGAAGGTAGGAGGGGGCCATGGTGAAGGCAGGGCCAGTGATTGGCTGCTTTTGTACAAATACAGGGGCTTTCCACCTGAATTTTCTGTGTGTGTGTGTGTTATAAACCCTAGGTCTTCTCTCTCTGTGTTATATCCCTTTCCCCCTTTGGTCTGTTTCTCTCTGTGTTTTATCTTCCCTTTCACCCATTGGTCATCATCATTATTGCCTTCCCTCTCTCTGTGTTATTGGCTTCTACTTTCTCTGTGTGTATATGATTATATTTCACATCCCCCATCTTCTTGTGTGTGTGTTTGTGTGCTTGGCTTCACCTCCTGTGGCCACGCTGCCTCAAAATTCCAAACAGGTCCAAAGGTTCAAAAAGATCGGGGCCTCCTATCCTAGTGAGACCAAAAACTAGAGTCCACAATGGGGCCTAAACCAATTAACTCTGTGGGGCCTGTGTGATTTGGTTCAGGCAGTATGGTCAAGGGCTGGGGTCCCCGGCAGCAAGAGTCGTTTTCATCCATCTGGTGGCTATGATTGTACTCCTTGATTTTCTGTGATCATATTTATTACGTATTTCCATTATTTAGAGTCCCCTTTTCTCACTGAGACTCAAGGTGGATCACACAGGGGAAATCGATACAATGAACAGGCTGAGATAGCTAGTAAGCAATGTAATAGGACTACGATTACAGAAATCTGAGACAAAGCATATGGTTTAGACTTGATTGCTTGAACAGTGGGCATGACATACTCACTGTGGTTCATAGGTTCAGGTTAAAAGAAGTTTGGCATTGATGGCATCTCCAGCAAAAGGATCTGAGATAACAGGGCTGGGAGAGCCACTGGTGTTCAGAGCATATCACATATCACAGAGAACTCTGTACTAGGGAGTAGTGGAATGTTGGGATGGGGGATGGAATATTGGGAGGTTGAGAAGGAATGTTGAGAGGATGAGAAGGAATGTTGAGAGGATGAGAAGGAATATCAGCGGGGGAGGGGTGGAATGTTGGAGAGGAGCAAGACGATTGGTCTCTGTATAAAGCAGCTTCACATGTTCCATGCCAGCCACAGTAGACTGGGCCAACAGGGTAATTATGTATGTTCCTTCTTTCTTAGAGCAGGTTCAGAGTAAACCCAGCTTAATTTGTATGTTATTGTTTTATCTTTACCTTTCTCTCTCTTTTTTTCAAGCGTGGGCTTGTTGGCCCTCCGGGGCCCCCAGGGCCACCTGGTCCTCCTGGCGCTGAAGTCACCCAGGAAGTCTTGCTGCAAGAGTTCAAGGAGATGTTGAAAGGTAAGAGGAGGGAGTCAGGGTCATGTGACCTTAGCCAGCAGCTGACTGGCCAGCAGCAGTTAGCAGGTTTTATGTGAAAGCGTTTCTGAATGGACAGGTCTATCTGAGCTGCAAAAAACAATCTGGGATTTCAGCAGTTGCGTCCTTAAAGGTTCACAGCTGTTTCCCCAGATTTTACCTAGCACTCTCCATCGGGGTGATGGAACAATGAGGGAGAGCTGTTGCCTTCATGCCTTGCTTGAGGGACTTGTGTGTAAGGTTCCCAATGCTGCCTCTACAAATGCTGGGACATTTGGGGGAGTGCCTAAGGAAGGCGGAGTTTGAGGAGGATATGATGTCACTTCTGGGTGACACTCTAGGCTGCCTCTCGTACTCTCTATGGTTTTTATCATAGAGAGTAGGGTAAATTCTTAGAGTGTCACAACAGGGAGGCCATTTTTTTCTCCTGCTCCTCCATTATTGGGGGGCAGGAAACTGGGGCTGGGGCATGATATTTCTGCTGCCTAGGCAGGTAAATGGGAAACCTACTTCTAGGAGACCTGGGTTGGCCACTGTGACATACAGAATATGGAAATAGGTGGGTCTTTGATCTGATCCAGCAGGTCTTTTCTTATGTTTTTTATTTCTGTGTAGCTTCCCAGATATGGGGTTGTTGTTGTTAGCTATTCAGTCGTGTCCGACTCTTGGCGATTCTATGGGCCGGCTCTCTCTCCACGTTTTCCGATCTTGTCCTGTTTCTTTGAGTTGTTCCATGCTCAGGCTGGTGTTGACTTTTATGTGAAAACCCTTCTGAATGGAACAGGTCTATTTGCGCCACAAAAACAAAAACAATAAAAAATTTAAAAAAATAAATAAAAATCTGGGATTTCAGATATGGGGTACAAAGGCCCAACTTTAATGTGATGCTGGTGGGACAGTGGCAGTTATATCTGTGCAACTTTGCTACCTCACATTCCAGTATGTGAGAATTCGGGCCAAACAGACACATCCTCTGGAAAGAAAACCACCATGAAAGGGTCAGTGTGGAACACAACTAATGTAGGCCTTCTGCTTGCTTTTCTTTCAGAAGCTACTGAACGGCGGGCGTCCCCAGCACTGCCAGCCCCTCCCAGTGAGGCACCTCCTCTCCTGCTGTCCCTGGAGGAAATGTCGCCCTACAAGCGAGTGGAGGAAGCGTTCCACTGTAAGCTCAAGGGGCAGATCATCGTGGACAAGAAGACCTTGATGGAGCTCCAGAACTTCCAGATGGTGAGGACATAGCAAGGAACGTGGGCTTGGAGGGATGAGCTGGAGGGGCTGTGGCTCAGGGGTAGAACGTCTGCTTTGCATGCAGAAGTTTCCTAGGTTTAGTTCCCGGCAGGGTATCGTGTTCAGTTTTGGGCACCACAATTTAAGAAGGATGTAGACAAGCTGGGACGTGTCCAGAGAAGGGCATCAAAGGTGGTGAGGGGCAGAGGTCATTTAGGGGCTGTGGCTCAGGGGTAGAACGTCTGCTTTGCATGCAGAAGTTTCCTAGGTTTAGTTCCCGGCAGGGTATCGTGTTCAGTTTTGGGCACCACAATTTAAGAAGGATGTAGACAAGCTGGGACGTGTCCAGAGAAGGGCATCAAAGGTGGTGAGGGGCAGAGGTCATTTTGGGGGGGAACGCAGTTCCCCCGGGTGAGGTGCAGGGGGTGGGGCAAATGAACAAGCCCCGCCCCCTGCTTCTGGCCGCTCCGCTTCCAGCCCTCATTCAGCC